CTGGCAGTTGACGTGAGTGCTTATCGTAATTGTACTTGATATTTTGACGATTCTTCCTGATTGCTTCTGGAACGCCTTCCACGACTTTCTGCAATAGATTTGTTGCCGGAATTGGTATTCCACAACGGGTACTGCGTGAGAACAATCTGGATGCAGGACTAGTTCCGATATTGTTGGGTGTGTTTCTCCAAAGTTGTATTACGAACCAAAGATCCTGTCCTGACTTACTCGCTTTACGGATAAGCTGTTTGGCGATTTTTACAGCGGCTTCCGCCTTACCGTTGGCCTGTTGGTGGTGTGGCGCAGACGTAGAATGTTGAAATCCCCATAGTTTTGCAAACTGAGTCATCTCCTCGTTTACAAAGTTAGTTGCATTATCGGTAACTACCAACTGAGGCGTCCCGTGACAAGCAAAGTTTCGCTTACACGCATCTATAACAGAAGTCGGTGTCAAGTCCTTTATCAGATCCAACTTGAAATAATCTGAATAGTGATCAACTGTCACTAAGAAGTTTCGTTGCTTTCCTTTGTATGCTTGAAAGAAAACGTCCATTGAAACCAATTGAAACGGGTAGATCGGTACGGCGTGGCTCTTCATCGGTGGGCTTTGCTGGGATGCTCCAAATTTGGCGCATATTGAATATTCTTGGACACGATCCTTAATCTGTCGACTCATTCCCGGCCAGAACACGTTGGTTCTAGCCAATCGCAATGTGGACTCAATGCCGGTGTGACTGGTGTGCAACTTTTCAATCAACGAACGATGAAGCTTTGACGGGATAACGATTCGATCACCTCGAAAAACCAATCCACTTTGAGTAGCGAGCTCATGACGATGTTTGTAGAAGGGTTTTACAGGAGCTGGAACTTGATCCACTTTTTTCGGCCATCCATGATTGATGTACAGCAGTATTGTTTGTAAGGCACTGTCGCTTGCAGTGTGCTCAATAATCTCATTAATTCGATCGTCCGAAATACTTAGATAACTGCTTAGATCGATGTTTTCTACTTCGCCGAAGGCTCTGTATATGTTCATTTTCCTGTAGTCTTTCAAATCATTCTGTGTATCGGGTGCTCGCGAGATGGCATCAGCTAGAACGTTATCTTTACCGGATACAAACTGGAGCTGGACGTTGTACCTTTGCAGATTTAGTAGCATGTGCTGCAACCGCTTCGGAGGCTTGAGAAGCGGTTTCTTGAAGACGTTTATTAGTGGTTTATGATCTGTCTTCACAACTACCCTCGGATTTCCGATGATTATTTGATCAAACCGAATACAAACGAATAGCACCGCTAGAAGTTCTTTCTCTCTCTCTGAGCGTAGTTTTTTTTCCGTTTGTGTCAGTGTTCGCGATGCATAACCGATGATCCTGTTGTCCTGGTATACTGCTACTCCGAGCCCGAAAGAACTAGCATCACACTCAATCCAAAGGGGTTCCTTCACATCGTAATACTGAAGGGTTTTGACGTCGGACACCATTGCCTTGATCTTGTCGAATTCCTTTTGTTCAACGGAACTCCATATCCACTGAACTTTTTCGAATATCAGCTTGCGTAGTGTGTGGAGATTTGCGCTTAGGTTAGGAAGAAATCTGCTAAGATAATTAAGGTCCTTCCGGTTTGCTGGAGCTGGATAGTTTTTAATAACTGATATCTTCGACTCATCGGCCTGAAGGCCCCTATCGGTAAGGACATGTCCAAAGAACGTAACTGACGGTCTACAAAACACGAGTTTCGAACGATTAAGCGTTATATTGCACTGCTTAAGACGTTCAAAGAGTTTCCCCAGACAACGGTTGTGATCCTGCATCGCCTCTTCCAAGGTTTCACTGCATCCAAAAATCAGCAAATCGTCCGCAAGACATTCTACTCCATCCAAATCTCCGATCGCCTCGCGCAACTTTAACTGGAAGATCTCCGGAGCCGATGATATTCCGAATGGCAGCCTTATCCAGCGGTATCTGCCAAAGGGAGTCCAGAAGGTGGTTAGGAGGCTGCTGGCATCATCAAGAACAACTTGCCAGAACCCTTTCCTTGCATCCACCGTTGAAAATACTTTTGCTTTACCCCACTTCTGACATCATGTTCTAGTAGGGTGCAGACAAGGGAACTCTCGGATAACGACAATTAATAAATCTTACTTAATCAACGAGTTCTTTATTTAAATAGTCCGCTCAAGTACGCGTCGTCGGTTCAACTGATTTCTACACTCTCATCAGAAACTCATCATATTTAAGTAAATGCAGAGGGGCGTGACACTTTGGTAACTTTGAATTATCACAACAGGAAGTATTGTCGAGGACTATACTTGGACTTTTGATAACTAGTTACACCTTTGAATGTTTTTGGTTGATGCTTTTAACATTTTTAACAGGACATTTATATCTGTAATTGTAACCAGCTCGATTTTGTTTGCAAACCTGGTTAAAATGTTTATATTTAATTATCTTAAAGATAACTCTTCCAGCTCAAACCTTTGTAGGGGTAAGAGGTGGGACCATCATCATCATAATCATCAACTCAAAAGGGTACTCTTACGCACTAAATGGTATAATTTATCGTGTGAAATTTGCCTGTCATAAAATTCACATTCCTGCGCGCACACCTTTGCGAGAGAGTCCGCCTTCTCATTGCCTGGGATTGAGCAATGTGAGGGGACCCATACAAAGGTAATCATATATGATCTTTCGAGAATTTCGAGCATAAATTTCATCTTTTCGATGAAGTAATAGATATGAGATAAATGTAGAAATTTCCATCTCTTCGTTTAAATTAATTTATCCGTTTAAATTCAGCAGAAGGAGTGCTAATTCTTGGCAATATAGCTAGATCACCAAGGCACGGGTCTTCCCTATGGAGAATGTACAAACATGTCCATAACATCTAGATTCATCATTCAAGATTCCATCAGATTTAATTAGCTGGAAAACTTTTGAACGTAAATAAATAAATTTCTACAATAAACTAAATTAAAAAAATAATGGTATTTAAATCAGTAGCTATGAGGCTCCATCGTCCTGCATCTTATAATATTGGATGTTTTGTAAATTTTTAATAATTTTTTTACTAAATCTTATATTTGAAGATATCTATATTGGGTGAAATTAATCAACCCCTGAACTGGCTTCCCAGTGCATTTCTTGTAAGTGTTCTTATTAAATGTGGGGTACCTGAATCCGATTCAGATGCCAACACCCTTTTGTGTAAAGTGTCTTCAGCAGAAATGCCAAAAAATATGTCTAAAATGCACAGTTGCGCCTAAATGTAGGTAATTTCATTCAAAATCTCTGGTAATTTTGCGAAAAGCCCTGGATTTTGTGATATTTGAAACATTCTACCGCAATTGATTAAATAATTCGGATTCATTGGCACGTAGTTTGACATGATACTTGAATGGTAATGACATCAATCGTTGCAGTCCAATGATGACTTGTTTGGATGTTGATATTGTATGCTACTTAACGTCAGTTCTATAAAATTAAAATTTAGACAATAATTTTTTTTTATTAGGAAAAACACATCATGGAAATCATTGGAGTCTCATGATGATATTTTTTTCAGATTTCTCTTGATATCTTTCACCGACCATGTTATACGTGACAATTGAAAGTGCAACGCATTATGATCAATTTCACCCCGGTGATCAATTTTCCTCCGGATTACGGTACTTCCTGAACAACCTACAGTCTTGAAAGAACATTGAATTTTTAAACAGTTGGAGATCCTCAGAACTTGATTAACCAAGACTTGAAGTCTTGGAAAAATATTCAGAGAACTTTACTAATATCTTTGTCTAATTGGAGATCTTTTGAATATTTCCTGCTGTCTAGCAAGGATGTCTGAAAGAATATCCTGTAACTTATGCAACGTTTCCTGCACACCTACAAAACTTCCTTAAGTTTTACTTAATTTCCTAAACTTCTACTAATTTTCCTGAATTTATTCCAAATTCCATATTTTGTTAATCTCTCTTAATTATATGAAGATCTCTGGACATCTTTGCACTTCTCAAAAGGCACCTATTATCTACAAATATTCTTGAACATCTGGAAAGTTCCCTGAAATTTAACGATGTTCTCAAAACTCCCAAGAAGTTCATAAAGCCTTTCCGAATTCAGATCTCTGACAAACTGCAACGAAGTTTCCTATACTGAAGCGAGGATCCCTGAAGTTCTTAGAAGTTTATTGAACTACCTTTAGATCTTTTACAAAATTCCTTACACTCATATGAAGTTTTACGCAGCTCTTCAAAATGCTACGAAATTCGCTAAACTTCTACAAAGTTTGCTGTACTTCTACGTTTCTCGATGATTTTCCGCAAAGTTTCACGATCGAAATTTCTTGAATTTGTACGTAATTTCCACAACTATTCCAAGACCACGAGGCTTCAAAAAAGTGCCATGAAATTATTTAGAGGATCCCGATCAGTAATGAGCTTCCCTGAAATAAAATAATGTTCCCTTAACATCTACGAAGTTTCTCAAACTCAAATAAATTTACCACAGTACGCAATTTTCAGAACTTTTCAAGTTCCTTGTTTCAATAAATTTTTCTGTAGATCTATGAAGCTCCAAAAAATTATAATAAGTTTCCTCAATTTCTACGATGTTGCCTGAACTTCTTAGAAGTCCTTGAAGTTTTACGATGTTCCCATGTTAAAGAAAAATCCCTGAACTCATTACCATTTTGTAGAGCTTGTAGATGTCTTATTATGCCATCGACTAAATATCGATATAATATAATTTATCAATATTGCTTCTTCTAGTCCAGAAAGTAAGAAAAGTAGTCAACATAAAGGACTGGCGAGACAGTAACAACAATTTTAAAGAATCATCAAATGCAACAAATTTTGAAATCAGATGACATCAAATGTTCTATTCCTTTTGCACTCTTGCTTGTGTAAATATTCATCTTCTATCTAAATTGATATACTCCACTGAAATAGTCATCCGCATTCAATATATTAATCTCAACAAATGCTTGTTGTCTTCTTTCCACAGGAAGTAATGTACAACGGGATATCGTGCTTCCTATACTTGAGTGCATCATCCTACCTGGGATTCGCCGTCAACGTGTGGCTGTATCCAAAGTTTTTACTTTTCAAAAACACCGGAGGAGTCCACAGTGCCTACCCTGCCATGACAGCCGTTTATGTCAGTTCTCCGATATGTCATGCAATGAACCTAATATAATTCATTTTCTAATCTATCCACAGTACATGGGCACCATCGTCGGCATCGTCTACGGTTTGGATGCGTTTGTTGCGTTCCGGCACCTGAAAGGGTTCTCCTCGTAGATATAACTCGCAAAGCCGCAAACCTTTAGCTTTAACTGCTGTATTTATTTATTCTCGTGTGCCATCAGGAATGCAAGTGCAATACTTTTCTTAGATTGTAGGTCTAGAGTAAGATTCGAATCGATTTATTTTTTGTCAGGGATTTATACCTGGAAATACAATGAGATTTTAGTATAAAACACCTACAGGTGAACCGCTGCTCATCACGACTTACCTAAGGTTGAAGCTTCCCGTTCGTTATATCACTGTCGTCAGGAATCCTTTCACTTTCGTTGTTATCTCATATTGGCTGCCGTCTGAATTGAACTGTGATATGTACCCCGAGGCTCCCCAGGTACTTGCTGTCATTCAAGACGAGATTATCGTCTATGCAAATAAATGGGGGAAGGAAGACTGAGTGCTCAAATTAACAGAGCGAGGACAAAACGCTTTGCACTCAGCTATCATTAGAAACAATTTACGACAATATTGCTTATCATTCAGAAGTGCCACAGGGAACCTTTTGTTCGACTACTAATCTGTTAACTGAGTATTTGAATTCTAAAAAAGGCTGAAGCAATAAATATTAACTTATTGCAGAAGCTTAATATGTTGCAAATGTTGCATTGGAAAAAAAAATGAACTCGCAACTCGAACCACCCGATGTTGCGCGGCATCATTGAACAGCGTGGAATGTATTGCATATAGCAAAACACTTTTGCTAGCTCTAATACCGGCCTGAGCCGGTTGCATAGGGGTGGGACTTATAGCATCTCGATAGTTTGGTTCAAAATGGTAATTAAGTGAGAGTAGAACAAATCTTATCTCATTAGAACCAGGTGTGAATCGCTATCACTGCCTCGCTGTGAAACCAGATGCATCCACGATTCTCTACGTGCTGCACGCAACGAATATTGAATACCAGAACAATGTGTATTCTATGGAAAGTGATTTCAAATTAATCGATCTACCGTTAGGGTGAAAGATGCGGAACCGATCGTTAAACAGCTGATCATGTGACCATATCAATTCCTTTGATCATTGTGATCCTCGCTTACGCACGGGAGCCCATTTTTTGAATCAGATAATTATGATTTAATCCACCTATGGCTAGATCTTGATTCCATTGTAGTATGATAGGTTTTGGCACTTGAATGAAACTGGAAACTGCCTTAGGTGAACCCGGAAGATTTCCATGGAACATATACATTTGATATAACCACCATTGCACATGTTTTTTATTCTTATGCAATTTGAGGTATCGCATGATTGGTTTTGATTCAAGTTAGATGCTGGCCACTTGGGTTCTGATTTCGGCGTTGGTCGGGAGTTGATTCGGTCGGAGAGGAGCTGGAGCTGCATTTTGCAGAGTGTGCACTGTTTAACCACAACATAAATACTTCGTTTTTGGTTGCGTCGCGTGTGATTGGTGATGGAAAGTGGACGCAGGCCTTTTTCCTCTGCTGAAATCGCTCTAGTCGGAGCAGCTAGAGTGTGTCTTTCTCTTTTCACAGTCTTTCTCTTTTGAAAACCACTGCTATGCAAACAGATTTAGTGCTGTTTTTGCCACATAGTTTAATAAAGGAGATTCTTATCTAGCATCAAAAACGTCAAATACAATAGGGAAAGGATTTGCAGCTGAGTGAATAACAAAAGAGAAAGTTGCTGAAGAGAAATGCAGGTAACATAACACACCTATTGAAATGTTCATCTTGAAATATCTATTAATTTTAGAACAGGTCCTATGTCTATGGTAATCATTTGAAGTTCCCAGGACCACACTGGTCAACCGCGGAAGGAACTGACACCGACACAAATAAAAACAAAATTAAGGGCTTGATTTTTTTCAAGATAATGCCAAAAAAGAAGATTGTCCTGGGTAACAAAGATTCTATACACCTGCCCGGTGGATCAATATGGGTTTTCATCAACAAAATAGTTTAAATATGATGCTTTATAATTGTAAAAAACATGTGGAATATTTTCCAGGGTTATAAATATAGAAGAGACTTTGTAGTTTTTCAGCGATAAAGCGGAGAAATTAATACCGAAGTTGCGAAAATAAATATGATTAGATCTTATATAAATACTGGTGTTTTACAATTTTGCAGAATAATTTTTGAACGATTACGTTCAAATCAACATTGGATCACTAAATCTCTCGACAAACCACAACATTCTGCAAATTGTGGATGTTTGCGAAGACTATGAAAAAGATCAGAAACTGATGAAGCTTCAGAAGGAAATCTCTGCGGATAATGAGACTAAGACGATCATCTTCGTTGAAACCAAACGGCGGATGGACGAACGTGACTTCGGTTTTGACTTTCGTTCGGTGTGGATTGACGGCTAATCGACGGCCCGTGTGTTTTTCCGGGGCTTAAGTGATTTGGTGAAATTTTTCTTGTAGAAATTAATCGCTTTTTCGCGGTTAAAATAGTGAAAACTTGTAGTTTTGGTTTATAAGATCGAAACTTCAGCCTGATACGTGTGGATACCGAAATTTTCTATTTCGCAAAAACAACCGCAATCATGAGTGAAAAGGAACACCAGAACGCGATGTTCGAGTTTCCGAAAATTCGTAAGGAATCATCTACAGGTATCCATGACCTCAGCGATTGCTTCGAGCGCAACACAAAAATTTTGGACCAGTTAGGAGAGCGAACAAGCAGCTGGGGTGCAATGATAACACATCTTATGGTGTCTAAGCTGGATGACGTCACTCAAAAGCGTTGGGAAGAACATGTGTCAGACAAAGTTGAACCATCTTTCGGTGTTCTGGTGGAGTTTCTGAAAAAGCAAACGAGGGTACTTGATGCAGTTTTGGTCGATTAAAAGGTGTCTACTACACAAGGACAAACTTCATCGTTTGGATTCAAACCACGTACTAAAATTTCGATCAACGCAGCTACCGAACGAAAGGTTCAAAATTGTGTTTCTTGTGGGGAACAGCACTCGAACTTCCGGTGGACAAACGGCTGCAACTAACAAACTCAACTTTGCAGTTATTGTTTAGGTCGAAATCACATGGCACGTGATTGTCCCTCTAAGTTTCGCTGTAGAACTTGTTCCAAGAAACATCACACATTACTTCATCCTGGATTCCCTGGATCCGGTTCTACTTTTACTTCTGATTCGGAAGCTCCAAACGCACAAAAGACACAGGTATCGACAGCATCTACTTCGGAAATTGCTACAAGCTCTGGTGGTACGGTTACTAGCTCGTTAGCATCTATTTCATCAAACATGGCGGTTGGAAATCCTGGAAATCACGTCTTCTTGCTCACGGTGCTACTCAAGATCAAGGACAGCTGGGGTAGGACGCATCTAGCACGCGCCCTGTTGGATTCTGGATCACAGGCAAACCTGATGTCAGAAGCACTCTGTCAGTTACTCAAGCTACCACGGCGTGCAAAACGGGTGGAGATCAGTGGCATCGGTCAAACACGAAAGAACACTGCGCACGAAGTATCGACATTCATTTCATCACGCATTAAGGACTTTTCTATGTCAATTGATTTTCTGGTTCTGGGACGGCTCACACCTGATCAGCCATCTTCATCTCTTCCATTGGCAAATTAGGCACCGCCAATCGGTATGGAACTTGCCGATCCCGAATTTTTCGTGTCAGGTCCAATAGATCTGGTACTTGGGTCGCAATTCTTCTACGAGTTTCATCTGCTCGATGGTGGTCGGGTTCAAACTCGTAAGCTCAACAGTACACTTCCGATTTTCGTCAATACCGTTTTTGGTTGGGCAGCTACTGGTGAATCCGAATGGCCTGGAACAAATCCGACGGTTACTTGTTATCTAGCGACTGGGAAACCACTCGACAAAACAATAGAAAAATTTTGGGCTATCGAGGAGATGACTGAAAAGCCACTACGTTCCCAGGAGGAAACAGATTGCGAGGAACATTTTCAAGCAACGATCACTCGAGACACAACTGGCCGTTACACTGCGCGCTATCCAAAAAAGATTGGGTTTCATGAGAATATTGGCGACTCTTTGAGCATTGCTTTTCTTCGATTTAATCAACTTGAGAGACGGTTGGATAGGGATGCGAACTTACGCCAACAGTACAACGATTCCTTACAAGAGTATCTCGATTTGGGTCATATGAAACTCGTCGGGACTTTACAAGATGTGCAAGATGAAGAACGGACAGTTTACTACCTCCCCTACCACCCAGTTTTCAAAGAGGCTAGCACGACTACAAAAGTCCGGGTAGTTTTCGACAGCTCTGCGAAGACGACTACAGGCTTTTCTCTCAATGACACTCTATTTACTGGTCCAGTGATTCAAGACGACTTGTTGGACCACATGATACGTTTTCGCAAGCACAACATAGCGCTGGTAGCGGATGTGGCCAAAATGTACCGGCAAGTACGAATCCATCCAGAAGACATTCTCTTGCAACGAATTTTATTCCGGTTCAATCGAACTGAACCAATTCAAATTTTCGAGCTGCAGACAGTGACGTATGGTTTATCGCCGTCATCGTTTCTCGCCACACGTGTACTGAAGCAACTCGCGTTTGACGTAGGTAGTAAGTATAAACACGCTAGCGCAGCAGTGATGAATTACTTTTACATGGATGATTTTCTCTCGGGAGCGGAATCGGTTGCAGAAGCGAAGTTGCTGAGAAGTGAAGTTCAATCTCTCATGGCCGAAGGAGGATTTGAACTACGAAAGTGGAGCTCTAACTCACCGGAAGCATTGTGTGATCTACCCCCTGATGCGCTCGAAGTACAAACGACGTTACATTTCGATGGACAGCAGAAGATAAAGACGCTTGGAGTGGCATGGCAGACGGGAACAGACTGTCTGTGCATCGATGTATGTACTTGCAGCAAGGGCAGAACAGCAGTGGACAAAGAGACGAATCTTTTCAGCAATAGCTCAGTTGTACGCCGGTCGTAGCATGGGCAAAAATACAAATGCAGAACCTTTGGTTAGTGTCTATTCAGTGGGATGATCCCATCCCAAACGAGATTTGTGGGAAATGGTTGAAATTCTAC